AAACTCAGGAGCCAGCAAGCTTTGGAGTTAGAGATCAAGGCTGTGGAGGCCCAGTACGATGCATGCTCAGAGGTGCTTGGGAAGGCATCAACACCCGGTGTACTCCGCAATCGAGATTTGACTTAACCGAGAAGCTTTGCTTTGGGACTTCTCCTTTCTCCAATTCAAAAACTGTCATCTTGGGCTGCTATACCTCAGGTTTCAGAAGCAAGCTGAAACCGCCATGCAGAAGGCCACATCTGTGCCTGAAGCCCAGATTCTATTCGAGCAGAAAGCCCAGCCCAAAACCATGAACCGCTTGCGAGGTGCACAAAGGCATCCGCGACCGAAGTGAAGACGAGGTGCCAACGGATCAGCCACGGGGTTACACAGGGCTTGTAGCTGGGGCTTTGGTCGGTGTTGGTTTGAGCGAATCTCGGTTCGATGGGTCAATGTGTTGCAAGCAGGGACTACAGAGAGAGAGAGAGAGAGAGAGAGAGAGAGAGAGAGAGAGAGAGAGAGAGAGAGTTTTTAGCCAACGGACTGAAATCCCTCTATGCATCTATCAAAAGTAGAAACCCGTTCTTACATGCTATATATACTCATCTTAATGGTTCGGCCTTCGGTGCCTTTCGATGTATATGGGGCTGGTACCTATAGCTCCGAGTTTCTGACGTCGTGTCTATTTAAAAAGACATAATAATAGTGCCAACCCAATACCTCAACTTTTTCTATATGACTGGCAATGTAGCTTGACTTGAACAGCTGGCCCCACAAGTACCGATACCAAAGGCTTCTGCTGAGCACTGAATAGCCTTGTGGGCAGGAATGCCAAGAAGTACTACACGAAGGACGAAGATGACGCCAAGCCGAAGGCCAAGGCCAAAGCTAAGCCCTCGAAAACCGAGGAGCCACAGAGTGCCGATGATGGTAAGAAGGCTAAGGGCAAAGCCAAGCCAAAGAAGTAGTTTTCACACTTGATATGTTTCTATGTGTTTGGGCAGGGTTGTAGCGCGAGCTGCAGATGAAACCGGGCCCCCAAAAATTTCGATCGAGATCTGCGGTATGATCCGTAGAGCGAGCTTGCACACTCCTGTTTCACGGCTTAGCAGCATCCCGGGGAGTGCTGGATGCAAGAAATCAGTGATTGTCTGCAGTTGATCAGTCGCAGCCCACCAACTCAATATCTCGAATCAACGAGTTTTCGTACTATCCCCCACGCCAGGTCAACCTTCAGGCCATGTGGTGAGGGGATTGAGCAAGGAGATCGGCGATGGGGCCACGAGCTTAGTCTTCTTCTGCATTTCGCGAATACACTCCATGCCCTGATCTGCGGTTCTTTCGAACAAAAACAAATCTGTGGATCTATGTCTGGGAAGGGGAAAGGTGGACGGTTTATGTGCCATGGATGCCTTGTCTACTTCCATCGAAAGCCCAGAAGATGAGCTGTTAGGACATGTCATCGAGATGATGCTTGACTGTTTCATTCTATACATATTTTGGTGTTTCATGGGCTTGAACACATCAAATCTTTCTTAACTGAACTAACTTAGTCGTATACATTTTGAAGCCAGCAATCTGTCAGGAATCTGAAGGCCCTTTTCCGTGGTCCAGCAAGCCCGAGTGTGCATCCGATAGCAAGCTTGGGGTGCTGGGGAAAAAACCTTTGGCGAGCGCGGCTGAAGACCCCAGCAACATGAGCATCCAAAGCAGTTCTGTGAAGTCCGACTCCATGGTTTCTGAACTGAACGATTCTACAAAACTTTCCAATCTTCAGGCCGAGTGTGCTCGACTTGGTTGCATTACTTTCGATCTCCCAGCTGAAAATGCCACGAGTGGAAAAGTCTTGTGGCACGCCATAAAGCGTTTCGAAAATCTCCACAAGAAGCACCGGCCGATGATATTCAAAATCGGCTACACGCACGATGCAATGTGGCGATGGACCAATTCACTTTATGGTTACGGGCCCGACAAAGCCAAGTGGAGTCACATGAAGGTTCTCTACGTTTCAAAGGAGCCTTTCGGGCCGTCTAGAAGCTGCCCTCATTGCGAGATTTGAAGGTGGCTCGGCTGAAATCTGTTTCTTTTGGTGAGCTTGTTTCCAGACATGTATCGAGTCAAAGTTCGGGTCCCGGCAAGGCACGGAGGGCTGCCGCAATATCAAATCCGGCGGGGACACGGTGCAGACTTCTTTGGTCTCGACGAATGATATTTTCATGACTTATGTTGTGTACAGATCTTTCAAGTATTCTCCGGATATCCACATAAACAAATCGTCTCACTGAAGCAAAACTCGGGGGAAGCGAGCGAAAATGATCACAGCCGGCCGTGTGTGCTTGTATTGACGTGTGGCACTTTCAGCAGTTTCTTTCTTGAACCATATAAACAAAAATGTCGGTGGCCGAGGCTTCTTGTCGGGCGGCCATCAGAACTGCCCGCAACGTCGTCGCGGACGTGGGGCGAGATCAGGCTCGCTGCAGTGGAGGCCTCGAGGCTTTAGCAAAGTGCTCCCTGTATCATTCTGAACAAGCCACCCGGACGCTTTTTGCAAAGAAGTTGAAGTTATCATTACCGATTCCTTTCACAACGGTTTCAGTGGCCACGAATTCTGAAGATTCCAACCTTTCCATTCTGGAGCTGCAAACCTTGAGTCTGCAGAGCTGGGTTACTTTTCTTCTTCGTTCCAATAACTGGCACATATTGGCTGGCCTGGTCAGACCCGACGCTCAAAGATCAGAGAAAATTTGGGAATCGTGGTGGAACAAGTTTCGCTGCATCGAGCCGAATCATCCGGTATACAGGATGGCCGATGAGAACCGCCTGTCCTTGGGGCGGACAGCCGCGATCGTGCTGCATGGGGATGAGGGGCGTGGCCGCCGCCGCGCCCCATGCATGATCCTCTCCTACCATAGTGTGTTAGGCCGTGGCACGAATTATGGTTTGGAGTCACAGAAGAAAGCTGGAGTAAAGAAGGCGTATCTGAAACAAAAGTTGAACATGAAAGGTCACTCATACACAACCCGCTTCATTACAGCAGTCTTACCTCGACATCTTTATTTGGACGGCGACAAATCGTTTGAGGCTCTTTTGGAAAAGATCTATGATGACGCCGTTTTCATGATCAATACCGGCATCGAAGACCAAGGGAAGCGCTACTGGGTGGCACTGATTCGTACAGTGGGAGATTGGCCATTTTTGGTTAAGTCTGGTCATTTAGATCGCTCCTTTGCCAACACCGTGAAAAAGCTCAACCAAGTTGCGAAGCCAATTTGTCACTTGTGCGAAGCGGGTACCGATCGCACTCCGTTTGAGTGTATTGGTACACGACAACCAGCTTGGGCACACAGGCTCAATGCTTCGTCACCCTTCAAGAGCCTTCCGCCTGCTGCCCGTGTCCCGCACTCGCCGGGAAGATTACCTGATCACTTCGCATTTGACATTTTCCACACCTTCCACTTAGGTGTGGGAAAGCACTTGATGGGATCCGTTATCGCTCTGCTTTCCAACCAAGAGTCTGGAAACGTTGAAGTGCGGCTGGAGAAAATCTCCGCGAAGTATGTGAGCTGGTGCAAGGCGACTCACAGATCTGCTCTGCTATCGAAGATCACGAAGGATATGATTTCTTGGTCTGCATCGACCGACTACCCGAAAGGTGGTTGGTACAAGGCTACCATCACAACCAATATGTTGGAATGGGCTGAGACATGCAATCCATTAGGAGATCCATTGCTGGAGAAGGCCCTCTCAGCTTGCAAGATTGCCAACAAGCTTTTCAGAATTTTATATGCTGAAGACGTGTGGCTTTCTGTGGAGAGATCCAACGAAGCTGGCCAATTGGCCAGCCAGTTCCTACGCAGGTACGAGCAGTGTGCTCAGCTAGCGCATGCTCAGGAGAAAACACTGTTTACACTCCAACCGAAGCTACATCCTTTCCATCATTTCGCGATCGACCTGTTGAGGGCTGCAAATGGTGGATACGAATGTCTCAATCCACTCGTATTTTCGACACAAATGAGCGAGGATCTGGTGGGACGACCGTCACGATTGAGCCGCCGCGTGGCACCAAGGTTAGCGGTGCAAAGAACGTTAGAGCGCTACTTGCAATCTGCGTATTCCGAGTGGGTCAACTCAGGCCTTTTGATCGAGACGAAGCGCCGCTGATCCGAGAAAAAGCCAGACATCGGGCGAGCATTCAACGGCATCAGAGTCACGAGAGTAGTTTTAACGCGGAAGTGTCAATATCATCGGTTACCGACCTTTTCTTCGAAAGAAGTTGATTATCAGCCCTGTAGGCGTGCAAGTGTAGAGGTTTCTAGCTTTCGGAAAGATGAAATCAAGTAGTGGGCAAAGCACAGAAATCTCCTTAAATCCTAAACCCCGGTTCTTGAAGTTAAACCCCGGGTTTGGGACCCACGCCGGAATTATATTAAGGAAAACGTTCCTAAGGTATATATTAATATATATATATATATATATATATATTAATATATATTAATATATATTGATATATATATATATATATATATATATCAATATCTATTAATGTATATTAATATATACTAATATATATATATATATATATATTAACATATTAATATATATATATATATATTAATATATTAATATATATATATATATATATATTAATATATATATATATATATATACCCTATATAATACTAGCGTACATATTTTAGGGTTTTGTAGTTGAGGGTTTAGGGTATATGATAAGTTCATGTGGCTTGTGATAGGGCTGAAATGTCCCTCGCCCAGGAACCCCAGGAACTGGATGCTGCATTCATGTGGGAGATTCCGAAATTAGGGTACCCTAATATAGTACCCTAAATAGTAGGAAATTTTCTTTATAAGGACTCCAACGTAAGGTATCCCCTCATTTTCGGAAACTCCCGTGTCCAACGGCGCAAGACTTGGAAGGACCCCCCCCTCGCACCTGTTGAAACACGAAACCAACCCGTGAAAAGAAAACGCTGACGATGCCCAGATTTTGGCGAGACTCCCGCCTCACGTCGCAGCTTCTGAAGCGTCTGCCGCACGTCGTGGATCGAACAGCCCGTCTCAGTGCCTGTGCCGTTTGACTGTGCAGAGCTTTAACTTCTTACCTGCCGGCGCTCGCACAGCCCTAGGACCCAAAAACCCAAGACGCAAAGCCGCTTGGTCCACGCCCTAAATCCTCAACCGCAGATGATCCAAATCCTGAACCCTCAGCCAAAATGTCTACAGGACCTAAATCCTAAACCCCGAATCGGGACATACACTTAGAGTCTTAGAGTTCAAGGGTTCAGTGACCACCGACGACTTCAGGCGAGAGCATCGCTTTGCAAACTACGGAACTCTTTAAAGTAACTTTAAAGAAACCCTCAATACTAGGATCCGTCATATAAGTATGCCGGAACCTCGTTCTTAGGGTTTTCTGTTTTGGGGGTTAGGGTTTCGGGTCTCAGAACTTGCAAAGGACAAGAGGCAAAGATTTACGCAAGCTTTACTACAAGCTTCAAGCGCGACTCGTTCCTAAATCCATGCCTCTTTCAAGGTGTTCAACACTCGTGGCTGTTAATTACACGGTTTAGGGTTTAGGCTTTGGATCATCCACAGCCTGAAACATCAGACCCTCTGAACCCTAAAGCCGTCAACACTCAAGCCTGAACATGCAATGCTAAACCCTGAGCGCTTGAACTCTGACAACCTAAACTCCCAAAGCCCTTAAGCCCTATACCCAGCCCTGTAGAACTAGATTGCTGTCCCAGAAGATGTACCCCGTCATTTCTATATGGGATAGTCCTGTCATGTCTTATCCTAAAAAGTGTACAGCCTACTCGCTCAGCTACTAGGCGGCCTATGCCCATGGAAGTACACCAGTCCATCAGAACGTCGGCCGCCGAACCCAGGCACAGGGAACTACCCAGGCCCAGCGACTCCTTCCGAGTTACCGGGCTCAGGGACCAGGGATTGAAGGCCCAGGAATCAGGTCTTAGAGGGTTCCTTTAAGGGATCTAATAAGGGATCTGTGGTTTGAAGGTTTAGGACTCGGGGCTTTCTACAAAGGCCTGTAAGCCATTGAGGAGCTGATGAAGGAGTTTATGGTTTTGGGGGCTGGGGTTTCGGGAGTTGGGTGTAAGTTGCTGCGCAGATTGAGCAAGGGCACTTGCGCTTCCTCGGCCTGACGGCGGAGGCTTTAGGGGTTTCCAGGTTTGACACTGATTCGTGGCATTCCTGGGCTGTACTTTTGGGACCCCTACAAATAGGTACCTCTGTAGGAACCATAAGGGAAACTTTAAACTTTCCCAAAGTGCCATCTAGATTCGCGCTTCAATGCGATGAGCAGTCGGCCCAGTTTAGGTTCCAGCAAGGCCGTGCCTACCTCGGGGCCATCTGGGTTTTAGCGTTTTAGGACTCCAAAAGTAGTACGAGTAGCTAGTTTAGACTTTAGACAATTTGGAGCCGCAGGGCTTTGGTCAAACATGTCTGTTCCGGAGAGTTCTTTCTTTCATCATCTACCCGTCAGCTTGCCTACTGTGGTCGTGCCGGGCAGCGCAGTTCCCCCAGCCCAGGCATCCAAGATTCCTGGAGCTGTTCGCACTGCTGTCTCGCTGCACCCCACCTTCCGTCATCGTCATGAGACAAGGCATATGGGGTGATTAATAACTCTAACAGCAACCGGTGATCTGGGCTGCCGGGTGGTTGTTGGCAAGTTTCAGGATAAAACTCGCGTCGTCGACCATGCAGCGGGGTTTGATCCCTCTGGTAGCGAGCGGTCATGTCAAAGGATGCCGTTCTGTCAAACGCATTTAGTGAGCCTTGTTCCGGCTAAAATACTGAAATGTGACGATACGTCATCTTCCAGGACACACTGCCAGCAGGTCCTCCTGCACGGGTTCGGCACTCCAACTCATATCTCAGTTCCCTGAAACTCGTTAATGTACAGACCCCAAAGTTTCAACCTCCAAACCCCGACATCCCCTGAGAGTTCAGCTTTAAAATTGGGGGCTCCATGATGTCTCGCAGGCTCGAGATTTTTGCGGGAGTGAAACCGTCGCCTGCCCGCCACCGCGTAGGAGAGGATCACTGCTTCCTCGATCGAACACCGCAGCATTTGGAACCCAAGCACGAGCTTCGTATGAGAATAAGACAGAACGCCCAGAAGCTTGGGCCAAGCTGCAAGTTTCTCCAGTCTGTGCCTTCCGTGCATGTAGCTCTGGACGCGCAGTTAGACAAATCCCTTCGCCCTGTAGCCCCAAGCCCTCCAAGGCGGCTGGTGCAAAGGACTAGTCTTGTCCCGGAGCTCAACCCCACAGTCTACCCTAAAGGACCAATGCGCGAAGCTCTTACTCTGACTTCAGCTCCTATGCAAGGTCCTAGAAGGGTTTACAAGACCTACAAGACCCGAACCCGTGAACGACCCCGAATCCTCAACTCTCCACCTCCAGAGTCTTGTCGCTCTAAGCCCTAAACAACCCTAAACAACCCTAAACCGTAAACCCCCAAACCCTAAACCCTAAACAGCTAAAGCCCTAAAGCCCTAAACCCTATACCCAAGCCCCAGGCCCTTATAATCATGGTCTGAGGCTCTGAGGCCATTCCCATGTTCTCTGCCGCTTCCAAGCTGGCAAGGAGGCCATCGAAGGCAAAGATGTGGCCTCGGAGTCAGAGTGTAGGGTTTAGGATTTAGGGTTTAAGGTTTAGAGCTAGGGTTTAGGGTTTAAGGGTTAGGGTTTAGGTTGTTGTTTCATAGAGTAAGGTTCTGGTGGTATGTAGTACAACTGTATAGTGACGATAAGGAGCCCTAAAGGAGCCATGAGCTCTGTAAGGGTCTGCCCCGCAAGGATTCACGACTTTGATTTTCAGGTTCATGGGTGGAGTGTTCAGTAGCTTAAGCTTCGGGGCTTCATGCTTAAGGTTTTTGAGGGCGTGGGGATGTCTGAGCTGCGAGAAGCTTCGAGCGAGTGTCAGGTTTGTGGGGGGTGGGTGTTGGTTTAGGGTTTGTGGCTAGAAGGCCTCTTCCTGGATTCGTTGATGCTGTCCTTCCATGAAGCTCCTGAAAGTATGCCTGAACCCTCAGCTCCAAGCCCTCAGCTCGCCCTAAACCATAAACGGTGCTCAACGCCATAAGCACTCTCAAACACATGTGGGAGTTTCCGAAAATTAGGGGTACCTCTTTTGGAGGTCCTTATAGCAAGGATCCTACTTCTTAGGGTACTATATTAGGGTCCCCTATTTTTCGGAAACTCCCATGTTGGAGATCCGTGCATGGAAGGGTAGAGAGCCTCTACACAACCGTCGGGCATCTAGCAGCAGCCATCTATTTTCGTAACTTTCGGTGTTTCACTTGCATTCAAAGCCACGAAAGAGCCCAGGCCGACAAACCCTTCAGGTCCAGAACGACCTGAAAGAGGATGGTCACGAAATTGCAGTGAAACCCAACCCTAAACACTAAACCCTAAACCCCTAAACCCTACTAAGCCCAGACATGGCCTGAAACAGAGTATTCACAAAATAGTGTGCCCCAACGAAAACGGAGAACCACCCATTTTCCGTCCGAGTTGCCGGACCACAGCACCACTCGAAGCTGCGCGTGTTCTGCATGAGAGGCCTGGGACATTTATAGGATTTCGGCAGTCAGGACGTACAGCTGTAGGATTCAGGGTTTAGAGTATTTAACTTGCTGCTGTGGGTATGCTGTGACTGCTGGAAGTTATAGTGACTATAATGACGGTCTCGATGGTGAGTACTACCCCGACTCTTTCACTGATGCTGCTACTACAGCCAAAAGTAGAGACTCCCGTGAAAGAGTGAACTAACCTCGTTTAGGTGCACTTAGACGCACTTCTTGCTTACCGAAGACATCGAAGTTAAGCTCGGCTAAGCGCTTCAGAGTCAGGCGCGCCGATGTCCCTTACCTGGAGGCACATGAGCCTGTGAGCATTGCCTGTACCGATAGCAATCGCGTAGGATTCGTAAACGGTTAGTTTGGAACCTGAGCTCTACACCGGTCACCTCCGTCGCGAAAGAAGTACTTATCACAACCAAAAACTTCAAAACCCAGAATCATTAAGCACTCCTGTCCCCTGCAGATTGAATTCCCTCAACCTTTAGTGCCGGTAAACCCGAATACCATGGCAACTCTAAGCCACATAACCTCGCCCCACGCCAGACACACTAGAAAGCCTTAGACTCCTAAACCATATTTAAAGCCCCCAACTGAAATCCTGCATCATTTCAGGCGCTAGACTCCATGATAGAAACATCATAAAACCCTGATACATGCTTACACCCCCCTTGTATAATCCAAGTACTAACGCACAGCCCCCCCCCCTTCTCCTGCAGTAACCCAATATAGCCTCAATCCTTAAGTGTACAGGGAATCCCAGCACTATGTGGCCTACTTCATTTATGGGGTTTACTGTATAGGTGCCTTAAGAATGAAAATAAGGGTTTGGGGTGTATAATATTATAACTATTTTTACGGAGCCGCCAGAAAAGTATTAGTAGGAATAGACCACCTATCCCTAAACCCTAAACTTTAAACCCTAAATGCTAAACCTTAAACCCTAAACCTTAAACCCTAAGCCTTAAACACTAAACCCGAAACTACATGCAATCCGGTGCTCCGGGCCTCCAGAACAGCGCTCGACGCCCGAGGCAGATCAGGGCGAAAGCCCACGGCACATGAACCAACTGCATTGGCCTCAGCTCAAGGTTCCTGGTTTAGGGTTTCGTTTAGGGGCGTTAGGTTTAGGGGTTGGGGTTGGTTTATTTAGGGTTGAGGGGGTTGGGGTTTAGGGATTTAGGGTTTTGGTGTGCAGGGTTTAGGCTTTATTTGGGGTTGAAGGGTTTAGGGTTCAGGGCTCGGGCTCGTTTGCGGGTTTAGGGCGGAAGAGGTTAATCTGGTTTGGGCTTTAGCCTATTGAAAGGGCTGCAAAGGGCCGCTACGAAGCCGAAAGGTTTCTTCAAAGGTACTTGAAGGCCGCTTCTAGGGGTACCACCATCAGGATTAAAGGCTTGAGGGGTGGGTTCAGGGCTTAAGGAGAAGTCGTTTAAGAAGCTTACACTGCAACCAGGCTTAGGCTTTGGGGCTTAAAGCTGCATGGGTTTAGGTCTGCTTGGAGGCTGATGGGTAGTGCTTAGTGGGGTATTATGAGTCCCTTAATATGAGTTATGAGTACAGCTGCCCTACTTTTTGACTCCACTTTTTACTACCCATGAACCTCCACGTACACAGGCTTTCTGGTGATTTGGATCGGTGCCCGTGCGCCTCCAGCACGCTCACGAGCAGCTCGGCCACCTCATCGGCGAAGTGGAGAGAAGAGAGGAGAAGCCTCGGCAATGTGAGGGTGCGTGAAAACCCTCCACCCATTTGCTTGACCCTTAATTCCGTTACGTTGAACAGGACTGTGGACGACTTTGGGACTGTAGGATGTAGCACTTCTTCCGGTATAGTTTTATTTTACTCGTATGGTTTTTTACAAGGAATTCGATTGCTCTTAACTTACGGATGCATCTACTTAAAACCTGGTCTCGGGGGTTTCATCATCCCTCAAGAAGCTTTTACAGGGTTTTCGGGTTCAGGGTCAAGCACTGACACGATCAAGGCAAACAGCTAAGCAGCTAAACCGGACCCCCAAAATCCAGGACGAATCTGCAACTGCTTGAAGCTGATACCCTGAAAACCTTAACGGCGATCTAAACGGGCGTCGAAGAAGCATCAGGCCCCAGTGTAAACGGCTTGGAATTCCCATGAGCGAGCACAGGTTCTCCAAGTATTCCTGGCAGGAAATCCAGCAACTGCCACTCCACTAGCAACACCGCTGCCACTACCAAACCTGCTAAAGCCTGGTATGTATGTACAGCATACAGTGAGTCCCATCGCCAGTCCTGGCTCCTTCAGCCTTCCAGCCACTCAGCAGATGCTAACAAGCACAAACATTTCTGTCTAGGACTGGCAAAGGTCTTGACGCCCGAAACCTGAAAGCTAAACCCCAAGCCCCAAAATTCGAACTCTGTAGTCCAAGCCCCTAAACCCTAATCTAAACTCCTAAACCCTTCAGTTTGGGCGGCGCCTCACGGTTCTCCGGGTCGCTGCGAATGAGAACCACCATCGCCGCCAGGTAGGGGACCACGCAGAAGTCCCTCGTCCTGCTGTGCAGCTCCTCGTTTCAGGGAATCGCATTTGATTTCGTCTGCAGGGGCATTCGTCATGCGAATGGGGTCAGGGCTTCGGGTTTAGGGTCACAGTGGCAGAATTGTAGAGGGCCCGTAAGGGAAGACTGCTACTGATTCTTCCGCCCCCTATATTGAACCCTCCAGATGAACCCCGGCCTCAAAATCAAAAGCAGACAACTGTCAAACGACTCCAAGTCGCAAGCCCCAAGAAACCCTAAGCCTAGCCCCAAACTCTTATGAACCCATGACCATTTCAAAGCATCCAGAGCCCAAAGCGAATTTCATGCGCAGCTTCAGAAGTCAGAGCTGCACAACTGCTGCCTTCTTGCTAACATTTCGGAAAGTATGTGCCTAAGAGTTCTTTTTCGAAATCCCTTCATCAAGCCAACAAACGATCTGCCCTGAACATCGTAGACTAAACCCCAAACCGAAAGAGTGCAAGCCCGATTCCTTCTGGGCGGCTTCGCTCTGCAAAACGTGCATGGCGAGGCCTTGCTGAGCTTCATCGAGACCAACTTGCTTCCACAACTCCTCTAAGTTTCGGCTTTAGGATTTGAGGCTTGGCCTCTGAACTCTAACAGTATCTTACCGGCTGTGGGTCAAGGGCTTGGGCTTTTAGACTTCAGGGTTCCCGCAGGGCTTCGGTGCAGAGCTGAGTAAATCTATGGGGGTTCCACAGTAGTTCAAGGGTTGAGTCTTGAGTGATCAAGCTTTCAAGTGGCCTGTCCTGCAGTAGATGCATTTGCACGGGCTCCTCGTGCCAGAAGCCCCGGGGATAGATCAGAAGATGCACTTCTGCCAAGCTCAGCTGCTCGGCTGCCACCCCGGACCAGTTTTGATATATGCGACGGCTCAGGTCCCTCATTTCCGCTTCGGGGTATTCTGATGCAGCGAGACCGGTATGTCTGAGAACCTCGCGCATGAGGCGGCGGTCCGCATCGGCATCGTCAGTGCAGTCCATTAATGCATAGAAGTGCTCAGACGGATGGATGACTCTGTCCTGGCTCTCAACAATCTCGTCCGACGTCCCAGCAGGTGTCTGAAACCCTTCCCAAAGGAGGCATACTTGCAGTAGGCGCCCTCGGGGACAGCGCACCATGCAGACTGCAGGCACGCGGACCAAGCTCTTTAGCTCAAGCTGCTTGAGCCAAGTGCTCAAAAAGTCCAGTCCCAACGGGTAAAGGGAATTAGGGCTTGCAGGCTTGCAGGGTTAATCATGGGGGTTTAACAGGCTTCCAGGGTTGTTAGGGCAGAACGCCTCTGCACAGAATTCATGCGGCTATTGCGCTATCCTTCGGGGTGTTCAGGTCCTTCAGAGGAACACAACAATCGCATGCTGTGCATGCTGCATCAGTTGCGGAGCCCTTGCACGTAGCCTCGAAGATCCGAATGGGTTGATTTGCTTGACAATCAGAAGTATAAGCAGAATAAAGGCAGGATCAGTTACAATAGTAAATTAGCGTAAGAACGGCACTGTAGACTGTCGAACGACGCCTGCGTGTAGCTTGGAGTCTGGTGTAGATCCGATTTTCGGGATTTTCAAGGCCTGTAGCCGCAGCACCCGGAGACAGCAAACCGTATCAGCTTAACCTGAAGCTTCTCTACCCTGAAGCCCCTGGACTCGTCAGAAGTCCTACCCTAAACCCAATAGCCTAAACCAAATTCTGAGATTTTTTCAGCCTGGTCAAGTTGCTCGTCATGCCTATGCATGGAAACCCAGCTTGCCTGCAGAGGAGGAGAAGATGTTTTGAGTCTTGAGGCACTCGAGAAAATCAAGCTTGGATGTGAAACCCAACCGCAAACTCTGAACCTTAACCCTAAACCTCAACTCTTAAACCGTAAGCCCGAAATCCCTAACCCCCAAACTGTCCCTTAAGCCTAAAGGGCTTTAGGGTTTAGGGCTTCAGGGCTCGAGTTTGGGGTGCAGGGTCTGGGTTTAGGGGTTTAGGGTTTAGAGTTTAGGTGAAGGCTTGGCAGAGGGTTGGGTCGCCGCCACATGAAGCAATTTCAAAACAAGGGCTTTGTTGGTTTAGGCTTACTTCAAGGGCTTAGGCTGTAGGGTTCAGGGGTTTAGGGGTGAAGGGTCTAGGGTTCAGGGTTTAGGGCAACAGCAGCGAAGCGCCATTTCGAAACCCCACAAAGCACTGAAACAATCTTTACTCTCCGAAGATAGGGTAGTAGAAACGGCAGCCAGGCGCCATTTCGAAACCCCGCAAAACCCTCAAACCATCTTTACTTTCCGAAGACTACGTAGCTAGGACCCCTCGGTTTTTTCATGTCCTGGCGGCCCGACGCCTTTGCTACCGTTGGTTAGTAGCGAATGGAGGAATGGCGTATAGTTATAGCTACTATTACTACCATTCTTCCATTCCTTACTCACCAAAGGTAAGCTTTGCTACTGGAGCTTCATCTTACCTTTGGCTAGTAGGGAATGGAAGAATGGCAGTAATAGTAGTTATAACTATACACCTTCCTCCATTCGCTACTAACCAACGGTAAGTCATCCGGAAGATTCCTCACGTCCTTAACCCTGGATCTCGCCAACCTTCGAACTCGCGACCCTGAAGGATACGCCCAGACGTGATCATGCAAAGCCTGAACCCCTAAACCTGAAACCCTAAACCCCTAAACCCCTACTGAAGCTTTGCTCTGCTAATTTTCGGCAGGGGTTTAGGGTTTAGGGTCTCGCTCAAGATAGACCTGGAGCATCCTTCCCCAGTCGTACTCGCCCTCCTCCCTCGGATGATGCTTGGCAGCCAGGGCAAACGGCAGCAGGCGGCCGAGGACTCTCGCGTCTTAGGCTTGGAAGAGAATTGAGATGGGCGTTAGGGAGCTACCTACGGGAACTGAGAATATCAGAACCCTACCCATAGGCCCCCCTAAACCCCAAACCATAAGCCCCCTAAATCCTAACCTCACCATTATCCTCGCACCCTGAAATTCCTAAACCCCTACCCTCAAACAAAACTCAGAACACCCTGCCTTAAACCACCATAACCTACTGTCTGGTAGGTCCTTATCTCAAACCCTCATATGGAATTCATAGGGATTTTTCGAAAAAGTGGTTCTGGTAGGTTACAGAGGATAAACGTCCAACTCCAAAGGCTTTTGGGGGTACCTCGGTACTCCTCGGCACCCTCGCCGCACGAATTTGCGACAGTCTGGGGCGGTGCGGTGAAACCGACCCCCCCCAGGCTTGAGGCTTGTAGGGGATTTAGGGTTTAAGGTTTAGGGGTTTAGGGCTTTAGGGTGACATCGACAAACCTAAGATTGAGAAGGGGTCTCCAGCGTTTTCTTGCGAGGGTTTCATGTGGGTTTACAAAGTTGTTAGAAGGTCTCTGAAAGGTGGAATACTGCTTTGGACCCTAAGCCCAATCCTGCGAACAAAGTCTAATGTCCTTCGACAAACCTCAAACCCCAAAACCCGAACCCTAAACCCCAAACGACCCCGGACAGTTTGCCACCGAGGTACTGATCATACAACACACCACAAAGTCTCATACGACATCGTATGCTAAAAGCCTGAATCCCAAACTCCTGCGTGACTCAACCCAAAGCCGTTAACCGGCACGGCAAAATCTCCAGGGTAATGTAGGAGGGTCAATAATTAGAACAGGGTTTGGGGGCCGATTATACTATAGTTGTAATAAGGAAACACCAAGAGAATATAGGTACCGAAAGCCTCCTCGCGGCCGATCGACTGTGCAGGTGCAAGGGGAGAAAGGCTACGGAGGTCCAGCCGAGGTTCGTAAGGCCATGTGGTTTCGGGAGCCGTCGCTTGTAGGATACTGCGATGTCACAGTTAAGTTTAAAGAGAGACATTCTGACAAGGAGATAGACAAAAACAGAACGAGAGCTAGACAAATAAAGAGAGAAAGAGAAAGAGAGCGAGAGAGAGAGGGATCATCATGTACCTAGAACCTTGGAAACAGCATTTAAAGATTGTTGCGGATTGCACCCATTTTCTTCTCCAGGGTTCGGCATCCTGATAAAAGTCCCTCAATAATTTAGACTAGTCGCTAGGGTTCCCTTGAAGGTTATCATGATGTATGTAGCAGTCTTAATTCTTACTCATCAGAATAAGGTTTGATTCGGGTGGTGTGGTATACTACTAGTATAATCGGAACCCTAAGGTATCCTATATTCTATAGTTGTACAAGGAATTAAGACCACAAAAAGGGAAACAGGGACCAAGTATCTGATGCCTCAGCGTCGTTGCGTGGCAACCCCCGAAGAGAGAATGGGAATATGCAGCAATGGGTGTGACCCCTGCTTTGGATTCTCAAATTGGTCTTCCACTTGGCTTTTGGGCTCATGGCAGAGCAGCTTTCGTTTCTTTGCCAATTGTACTGCTACCATGTAGGGGCTTTGGGCATTTCAAATTTGTTGCTAATCTTTCTCCCTGGATGATGAAAGTGAGGGTTCTTATAATTGTTTTGGGGGGTATATCATACTGTACTTGTAATAAGGAGCCCGAAGGCAAAGCATTGTGAATGTAATTGTTCAGGCTTCTATACTACAGTCAATGTCAGCCTCGCATAGACCTCGTTTGAACAGTGATGTCCGTCGACTGCTCTTCAGTGACGGAGTAGGCTTTTGCCTGGAGAAAACATGCCATGACTTGGGCCTTCACCAAGATCCTAAGCCACAGGAGGACGGTTTCGGGAAGCCGACGTATGGCTACCCCACCCAAAGATCCGAGAGCTTTTTGCAGAGAAATTCCTGTCCATCTGTGGAGTGAGATGCCCGAGAACTCGCGTGCCGGGTGGGGAGTTCATGTGACTTCTTCGGCTAGAGTGTACAGTTCGCGAAGCATTAACACCCTTTAGGCCAAGTCTGCATTTTTGATCCGGATACTGAAGAATCACCTCATGGCTTCTAGGACTCTAATCTAGATCAAGCCTGAGCGTCTGGGACTACATTGCCCGTTGTAACTTTTGACGGATCTGCGATCCCTAGATTCCTCAGTAAGGAGGTGCTCTGAACCCGGAGCTACCACCCGGCAAACTAGCGAGATTTCAAGGGAAAAAATCACGCAGCGTCTCTCGAAGCTTCTTCAGCGGGGGCACGGGACGGGGCAAGGATGGGTCCATGAAGGTTTCTTTAAGAAATCTTTTAAGGGCTCCTCCTTTACAATGTAAATACTGAGTGCTTATAGACTTGAAGGCTCAGGGTTGGAGAATTTAGAACTTAGGGTTTGATTGGAGTATAGAGCCATACCGAGCCATCCTTTTTACAGTGGCTTAAAGAGTGCAGGCTGCAGGGTTTGGAGTTTACGGTCTACGGCTTGGGTGTGGTACACTATCACATAGTTCCGATCAGCCAAGAAGCTTTGTGCTCATACTGGTACACAATCATCTGCTACTTATCTATCAAGTGTAGTTATCTTTGTTGCTTGTCATACCACTGCAAGTACGAGCTTGACGTCGTCTCATCGTTCTCAGACTACCACCAGAATCTCAAGTTGCCGGTATTGTCACTTCTTGCAAAAGGAAGTGTCGGGGGCTATTAAGGCCCTAAGGAAACATACTAAACTAAATAGTATGATTTCGATTCGATCCTCTGTTAGAATGGGTGCTTCCGCAACAAGGAGTCCACGCGGCCCAAGAAGAAGAGCCCTCGAAGATCATAACACATCCTTCCAGTCTTCAAAGCTGCTGGCCGTGACTCCAAACCGCCAAATCTTCCGGCCCCAAGATGAAAAGTAAACACTGAAACCGTAAGTCTAATATGCTTCAAGGCCACAACCTTTTCAACTAAACCATTGAAGCCCATAGGTGGGGCTTCAGGAGACTGACCGTCTCCCCTGAGAATGAAACCAAGCTTTGCATGCATGTTGGATCCGGGCCGATAAGAGTTCTGGTGTTCTGTGCGTGGGTTCCTACGATGCTCTTCACCTGTCGGGTGGCTGTGTTGCGATAAACGGGCAGTACTTAAAGGATCATGGGACTTGGTAAGTAAGGTTATAAGTACCTTAGTTGGGGTTATAAGAGGTTATAAGTATAGTTACCCTAAAAAATGATCCAACATGCATCCCAAGCGGATCAGAAAGTCCCGCGCTTCGCGCGGAAGCTTTGACTTGTTTCTCACGCAGTGGAGATGGGCCTGCGACCAGGTGGGAGTTTCCGAAAATAGGTGACCCTAATATAGTACCCTAGATAGTAGGATCCTCATTTTAAGGGCCCCAAATTAGGTACCCCTAATTTTCGGAAACTCCCAGGTCCCACTAAATCGTAGACCCACGCGGGGGAGGAGCAAGTGTCGATTTGTCGAGACCCTGTCGGGGAACGTAGGACCTTCAGGACAGGGGTTTATAGTACAAATACCTCGATCAAACCGGGATTGCCAAAGATAGAATGCCAACAGAAAACGAGACCTGACCAAAGAACAGTATAGTCGTCGTCAGTCATCGTCGTCGTCGTTGTCGCAGTAGCAGTAGCAGTAGCGGCAGCAGTAGCAGTAGCAGTAGCAGTAGCAGTAGCAGTAGCAGTAGCAGTAGCAGTAGAAGCAGTAGCAGGCAGCAGCAGCAATAGTAGCAAGAAAGACTTTCCGGAAAATGTTGACCCTGTGCAACTCAAGCCAATAAAAATCAATCAAGCCGAAACCCTGTGTCCTGGGGGTGGCTGTCGCGGGTGACACCGGCGAAGCTGCCAGACTCCGGGGCGAGGGTGAGCGAGTCACACCCTGCGCGATTGAAGGGAACGTCGGTCTGAATGTGTTCTTGAAGGCGAGGTTGTTGTTGCAGTATGATGATGATGATGATGATGATGACGATAGTGACGATGATGGCGAGGATGCTAACAACGATCATTGCAATCATGGCGATGTGATGTCGATGGTCTGTACATCGCTGCTCCTTGATATCGGCTATGCTCCTGCACTGCTGTTGAGCTTGTTGTGTCATGGTCACCATGGCAGCATTCCACAGTCGAGGATGGGTGTGCATGACGTAGAGTAGTAGACGACAACTTGTCTGGCGAAGATTGCTGCTGCAGCTGCGGCTGCAGTCACTCCGTCCCGGCTGCTGCTGCTGCTGCTGCTTCGTAGATTTCATGCTTCTACTTTCCTGCACGGTTACGGCAGTTGCGAGAACTTTGATATCTTTCTTCGTAAATCTGCAGCAGGATCAATGGCAGCTTATAGCGGGAGCTTCCAAGCAAACCCCAAACCCTAAACCCCCAAAAACCCTAAACCCTGAAGCCCTCAGCCCTGCAAGCCCTAAACCCCTAAACCCCCCAAACATTTGCCAGAACTGGGTTGCGCAGGTTGGGTCTCTGGGGCTGCTACTGCTTCCCCTGTAAGACTCCAGCCAAGGATCTGAGTGGATTAGTCTAGAGGATCAGGGGACCTAGTAACTAAGGTTTAGAGACGGTAACTATACTTATTATTGCTTGTCATCCGAATTGATCACGGTGCTTATAAGGGCCTTACTGACGACAAGTAGGGCTGAGTCCGTCAAGGGCAATTTCTATCGAGAGGTAGTCTGTAGTTCTGCCATCAACCAAGGTTCATGATGGGGGTGTGAGGTCCACGGCCGGGGGCTGCTGCAGTGTCAGGTTGGGAACCATGTGTCTAAGTCTTAGGAGTATGATGTGCAATTAGATGAGATCTGTCCACACCTGTCCTTCGGTTTGAGGGACAGAAACCTTTCAACGCAGTATGCTCCTACCAAGCTCCTAATAAGTACAGATAATGCAGGATTGTGTCCCTCCACCGTTTGAGGATTTCCCCTAAACCCTCTCATTTTCCGACCGGAACTTCTGCGGCCATCCTTCCCTACTAAGAACCAGGGAGTCAATGCCCGCAGCAGTTCCCGTCGGAAACAGAGAGGGTTTAGGGTTCAGGGTTGAGGGTTTTGAGGTTTAGGAACTACCTGAAACCCTAAACACCGATTGGGGTAATTCCTCTACATGTCAAAAAGCACGGCGCCTGCTTCTGCAACTGCCAGAGCCCGAGTAAGTCGCCCTGCGAAGGGGTGTGCAGCCGAGATGCCGGCGTCCTACGGCTATATAATAATGACTGTACTATGTTCTAGTATATTCTGCTCTATTCTAGTGTAGTCTGAACATACGTTTCATATCTTGTTGATCTAGTGTTTTATAGTATGGTACCGTGTTATGTAGTAGCTTTCAGCTGCTTTCTGTGCGTTTTAGCGATCCGAGTTTCGTTAGTGATGCCGCTGGCCTGAGCTGGAGTTTGACATGTACGAGAGTGGGAAGAGAAAGAGTCAGAATGATGTAGCTCTCAGGGTGCAAGGGATCGGGTTCAAGGTTTAGGGTCCTGGGATTTGGGGTTTTAGGGTTTATAGGGTTTAGGTTTTGGTGTTTAGGGTCTAGGGGGCTCCGGGACACGGGTAAACGGTGGTTAAGTGTTTGGGCCTCAGTTAGAGCAAGCAGATTCCAAACCCTTTACTCATTCGGACCCACAATCCTCAAGCAGCAACTCAGAAAATGCTAGGTTCCTGAGTATCCTTTTTCCTACTATTCGGTTTCAATAACGGGACCCCAAACTAAAAGGCCAAAAGGGTACTACTCAGGAACCCAGACTATCATCTCAGTCCATGTTATGCTGTAACTGTAACTTCTGCGCTACATCCCAAAGCCCACATTCAAAGCTACATCCCGATCCCGGCAGAGCCACCGATCTCCCCCAGAGTCTCACTAACCCTGATATAGGGGCCTTAGTACTTAGAATAGGGTCTTGGGGGATGTTATACTATAAAATACATTAAGGCGCTTCCAAGATAGTATTAAGAAATTATTAATTTAAGGCCTATACATTAAACCTTTTTGGACGTAGCCCAATGCTCGCATCTCCAAGGGCAACTTTGGCCTCTGAGTGTCCCGCACTGGTCGACTCCAGGATTCGCGGGGGGCGTTCAAAAGTTTAAAGTGGAGGGAGGGGTCTAGAGGCTCGAAACCATTTCCAAACACAAAATCTTGGGGAACCTATGGTGCGACATGCTTCTCAGTCAGTTTTTTGCAAACTCGATCGTGGATGGGTGCAGTTTTCACATAAGATGCTATCACTCGAGGCTTGAAGGCAGAGATTTCGTGGAACGCGCAGCCTCCGGACCCCCGGTCGCCCCGCTTTTGCCTGGCCGTCTCTCCTACACGTACGACGAAGGCTGCTCCTCATCTGGGTTGGGCAGGCTTGCCTCAGGCACATCTTTCACGACGACGACCTGGGGGTGTAGCTTCTAAGCATGGAGGTTGAGTTTTCATGAAAGTTGGGTCTGGATCTGGGGCTTCGGGGTTTCAAGTTTTGCCGTGAGGGTTTCAGGGCTTACCTCGGGAGCAACTCAGTTTGCAGGCGCATTACACCAAGAGAGTGGGCCGTTGAGCCGAACTGCATATTGCATTCTTTCACACAAGCCTTAGCTCCCGACTTTGAAGACAGTGCAGGTGTATGTGTGTAAATACCATGCTCTACACGCTAAACCCTCAAAGCCCTAAACCGTTTGCATCGAACAAGGTTTCAGAGTTCAGGAGTTGAGCTTCGGGCCGCGACTTCCAAGCGCTGGCAAGGTACTTGGTCTTGTGCTTATTGTGCTGTTTGGCGGAACCTCCGTGAGCATATGTGATATAGGGACCTTAACAATTAGAATAGGGTTTTGGGACCCATTATGCTACAATTATAATACGGAACCCCCTATGGTATTAAGGCCCCTATAGTATGCTATGTACTGCCATGCAATGCCAGGCAAGACCATGTGTAAACAAACGAGTATGTGCGATAATGGAACAATTTCATCCTATGACTGCTTGCCCCGTAGCGGGTTATTGCGCTGATTCTTGGACTTTGTATCATACCCTAAACCCCAAGCCTTGAACAGCGAAAAGTTAGTGTCCTGTACAAGGAAGGACAGAAGGCCACGTCTCCCCTAAACCCCAAACTCTAGACCGTAAACCCTGAACCCTGAATCCTCAACCCGAAACCTGAACCCCACACCCTGAAACCAAAACCCTGAACATAAGTCCTGAACCCGAACCCGACGTCCGACAATGCCTGTAAAACGGGGGCTCAGTACTTGGAAGAGGGCTCCTTTATGGGATCTTTTAAAAGGTTACCATGTAGAGTTTCTATGAAATAGTGGCTTCAAGACTTTGAAAAGGGCCGCGATGCATATCGCACGATGATATTGAGGGACCAAAAAGTGTGCTACTAATCGTTCCGGCTTCCTTAGCACTCTCGCAGCCACGCCGCGTTGCAAGGGGAATGTCGCACGATGTATTCCGCCACATCCTTGGCTTTAGGATCCTTTCGCATCGGCAAAACTCCAATTCGACCCGTTCTGAATGCAGAAAAACTGCAGTTTAACATCAGGGGCCTAAATATCTTCCAATACCATTTTGGGGGTTCCTTCTTATAATCTCAATGTACTGTAATGGGCCCCCAAAACCCTATTCTACTTTTAAGGCCCCGATACAAAATCTTTATGGTAGCCCTTATAGACCCCTTTAAAGGAAACCTACTCTACTTATTATTGTAGCCCCTACAGTACAGATCTTGAACTCCGAGCAACGAGCCCGGCTCACCCTCCACAGAGGAGCCGAGGGGAGGATTTCGTTATGGGTTTAGGGGTTTAGGGTTTAGGGCTCGCGCATATGGTTTAGGGCACTGCGGATACATTGGCAGCCCCCTCTGGCCGGGTTTAAGACTAGTCTTTTTTTATGTGGGCCCTTTGCCAACCGCAGAACAGAAAGGATTCCCCCTGGTAAGGCTTAGGGTTTAGGGTTTATAGGGTTTAGTTTCATGTCTGCAGCAATGAGGAGGCGTCAAGCATGGGTTACGAGGCCCTGAACGGCAAACAAGCGTCGTACTGCTTGTGTGGGTCGACGAGCTTGGTCCTGGGCACTTACCGGGTCACCTTCATGAGATTCGAAATGAGAGACGGGAATAGTTCTGCCGCTGCTGCTGCTGCTGCTGGGGTCTAGAGGGATTGATAAGGGATCTATAGGGATTGACAAGGGATCGACGACGGTGATGGTGATGCATAATTATGATGCCCCGGACGCTGGATCCACACAGGGTTTCGCTGGCCTTGGAACAAGGTCGTTCGGTTTGGAACTACAGACTAAAACATCGGAGTGCAATCTGCGCTAAGGAAGATTGGGGGGAGTTTCTTTGGGGTTGAGGGTTTCGGGGTTTTAGGTTTAGGGCTTCACTAGTTATCTTTTGTGGGTTCCATATTGGCTCTTAATTTAGCCCTCGCGACCAGAAGCTGCAATCCTAAGCCGCAAAACCCATACCCGCGATCCTAAACCATCAGCCACAAACCCTCAAAAAATTGAGGCCCTAACCCAATATCCCAAGCCTTAAGCCCAATCCCCAAGCAGTCAGACTCAAACCCCACACCCTCAGTTCCTGTGCCGCCGCTCGTTGTAGCCCACGTAGATGGCGTGCGGTTGCGGCACGCCGGGATCTGGCACACCTATGACGAGCTTAGGGTTGAGGGTCCCTGATCAAAAGGTCTTAGCGTTTTAAGGTGCGAGACTCAGAGCTCAAGAGCCTGTTCTGTGAAAACACGTCTTTTTTTGGTGATGCAGAAAGCCGACAGCCGAGAAACTAACACACTTTAAAGCCAAAGCCCTTAACTTTGCCCTAAACCGCTAGTCCTCACAGCCAAAAGCCCAGACCCTACACCCCCAGAGCGTTCCGCCTGCCATCGCATCTCCCACCAGCTGCTTGTGGGGCTCAGGTGTCTCCGCGCCGATGTACTGCTTGAAGAAGACGCCCTCCTGGTTTAAGGCTTATTTTCGCCTGATTAAGAAACCTTGGGTCTTTATTCGGGCTCTGTATCTGGGTCCTAGGGATATAGGACCAGGGTTTCTGATTCAGGTTCCTATATAGCGATAGAAAGGGCTCTGGATGAGGCAGCACGGTTTGAGGGTTTAAGGATTTGAAGGTTTGGGGCATAAGGTGCGGGGCTGCGGGCTTAGAACATGGAGGGTCATGGGCTTGAGGTTTCTTTGGGTCGAAGGTCTCGCGTTCGGGCTTCTGGGCTCTACAAAGCTTCGTCAGCGATTCGGTAGAATCTTTTTTTAGACAATGGTTTGAGTCTAGAGTGACGAACTCATTGGGTCTCGGGCATCTGAATCTAGGCTAGAGCGTTTCCCTAAACCCTAAACCCACTTGGGTTTAGGGTTGGGTAACGGCCCCCATGAAGAAATTGCCTCGGGATCCACAGGCATGACGTAGGCCCCGCCCCACGTGTCATGCTTCCGCGGCGCTGAAGAGCATCGAACGGAGACAGACCATGAGCATGACTGCAGCCACGGCAAAGGGGCGAGAGAAGCCTCAGCAAGCCAAGAGCCTGCTGTCAGCTGCATCTTAAGATTGTCCTCAACGGCTGCCGGGCCTTCCGCGGCACCCAAGACTTTCCTGCCGCAGTGGACTGCCGGGTCGCGTCGTGCTTCGTCGGAGCGTGGACCTGTTGCCAGAAAATTTAGCCATGTGCATCAGTACGGCAACTGCGCAAGGCCGGCCAGCCTGCAAGCTGTGCCACGCGTGGAAAATGGTCCATTTGCAGCAAAAAAAACGGGTTTTGGAACTGATGAAGCTCCGCGTGAGCCACGGTCGGCGCGGATGACAACGCAGCGGCCCGCCTTACGGCCAACGGTGAACTCTTTCCTGGAAAGGATCTCGGCCGGCGCTGAGCAAAGCTCGCGCGCGAGCAGCAGCTCCACCAATAGCAGGAAATTTGGCATCCTGCCTCGGCCGTCTTTGCCCTGGGCATGTCCAGGCCAGTCCCAGGCGAGATCTTCAGCAAACGCATGACTGGCCGATGTGTCGACGTGAGCTGGCCCTGCGCTTGCAATATCTCTTCGGCTCTTTGGCCTAGACTCTTCCAGGGGCTCCCGGGCATTACACCCACCGCGGCGGCTGTCTAAGAGCAGGCTGGTCCCAACAGAGCTGCAGGAGTCTACGCGGAATTCAAGCGTAGGCCAGGTTCCCCCTCGCCTTCCCTGTGTTCCCGGTTCTTGTCCAACCGATCCATATCTTTGCCTAGCCGACGTACGTTGCTTCAGTCCTTGGCCGTTTCACGTTTCTGCTTTGGATGTGCGACCACCCCTCTACTGCGGGTCTCTTGTCACTTCCGCCGGGGGACTCAGCGGTACCTCGCCCTCTGGAGAACACTGCCGTGCCGACCAGGATTTTTGTAAAAGCCCACTGTGTACAGAGCTGCTTCTGTTGCAAGCCCTCCGGTTTTGACTCGCGGCCATGCAGAGGCCCTACTAGTTCCGAGGACTTTTCGAGCCTCAGCGCCTGCTCCCTGCCGCCTCTTTGGCGAAAGCCACCAGTCCCCTAGACCCAAAACCCGACACTGAAGGCTTAGCCCGCCTACCTCCGTGTGTGGAACAGCTCATCTACTACGGGATGGCCGGGTTGAGAAAAGAGTCGTGTGAGGTAGAAGCTAATTTCCGGGCGTACTGTGCTCTTAGTATAACTTACCTACAAGGATTTTGATCTTCATTTTTCAAGCCGCGAAATTGTGCCGAGAGACCTGTGAAAGCTCCTGTTAAACTCTAGGCTGTTCAGAGATCGACTTCAACATGTGGCTGCTTTAGGGCCTCGGGTTTAGGGTTTAGCGCGACGGGCTGTCTGGTACAATATGGCTCGAAGCGGTTGTCCGCGGGTTAATCAGGCTCTATCGGACCATGGATGCTTTAAGGTGTAGAACTTCCAAAAAAGAGACTCTGGGATAGGCTGTTTCATGGGTAGTACGTCTCCTTCCGGTACTCCTCTGCCACGCGGTTGCTCGAATCCATAACGCGCATCAGTGCTGAATCCATGATGACCTGAGAGTTCAGCGGCAAACCGACAGTTATGCGTCACTATTAGTGTTCTTCTGTCATTACAACTCTTGTTCGTAATCATACTATGTTTACTCTTCTGGTTGCTATTCTTACAGCTATTGTTCTACCAACTATTTAAAACTATCTTGTATACTTATATTCCTACAATCTTATTGTTGCATGAACATAGAATTTTAAAGTTTCGAACCCCGAACCCCCCCAACGGCGAGTTCCGGTCCTCCTTTCACCGCGGGAGGAAGACCAGACAGATGAAGTCTGGAAAAAGCCCAAAAGTCGCAACAGAACATAGGGGCCTGAATGACTTGAATCGGATTTTGGGCGGGGGGATCTTCGAAGTAGTTCTGATAAAGAGACCCCGGAGGACTAAGGAACAATCCTCAAACCTGTTCTCAAACACCGGTGAGCCTCGAGATGAGAAAACAAGGAGTTAAGGGTTTACTAGGCTTAGGGTTTCGAGTTCGTTAGGGTTTAGGGCCTTAGCGCTTCAGGGTTTACTACGGAGGAGGATACACAGTTAACGAGCCTTTCAATGTAAAGGCTGCTGGCGTCACGATTCAGCATGGTTGGTATCGTGCTTCTTCTTCTTCTTGTTCTCCGTGTTTGCTTGTTTTTAGGGTTTGTGCGCCCAGACCCGGCAACCAAACTGGGTGATCCGGATGCTGCACATGACCCAACATCCTGCCAATCTCCAGCCCAATGCACCCTGCAAGTTTTCGTTCGTAGCAAGATTCGACATCTCTACGGCCAACACGAAGCTAGAGTTTCTCAACAACCTAACCTCTAAAACACAAAAGGCTCGAAAGGCCTCGAATCCCAAACACGAAGAAATCCTACCAACAAGTTTCAGCCAGCATTGTGGTTCTCTGTGGCATTTTCGAAACACCTGAACTCCGGACTACCACAGGCCCAACCGGTGAGCTTCAAGCACGACCAGGGCTCAGGGGGGTTTAGGGTCAAGGTTGGAGACCAAAGGATTTGAGCTGTTGGGCTTAGGATCGACATCTAAAGCAACCGAAGGTTGCAACCCTGTGCTCCAGCAGCTGCAGCAGGGTGCACCATACTTTAGAGGCCTTATGTAGGTAGAATAGGGTTTTGGGGCCCATCATACCATGATTGTAAGTTATAACAAGGAACCCCCCACAATAGCACTGATAATTCTTAAGGCCCCTACATTGGAGGGTTCAAAGGCTTGCGGGATTAGGCTCTCGGGTAGACCTCCGATCGCAGAATTTGACGCCCCGTTGTCGACACTCAGCACCCAACACCAAGGTTGTCGTCGCAGACCTGCAGAAGATTACGGCTTAGAATTTAAGGCAATTCAACGCGTCCGGTCTATCGGTTTAAAAGGGAGGTCAGTGCATGCTTCTAGTATGGTGCAGATCTTAGGTGTTTTAGTACTCAGGTTTCCAGTCGTACCTAAATGAGCAGAGGACAAACCACGGCTTTGACGTAATCCGATGAAGTATGCGGGACGAGACGACAAAGTGTCCTTTGTCGCCGCAGTCATCCACAGCACGGGAGCCGGATCAGGCTTTCGTGCTGCGAATATTCTGCATATATTTCGGGTGCCTCTTCCTACAAAACGAGTATCATTGGGAACGAAATATATCGGGATTGTAGTTTTTTTCAAGAGGTTAAAGGTTGCCTACTCCACTACTAGGTCTTGCTTTCGGCCTCGATGCTGCTAGTCCACACCTAAGATCGAGATTGGCAACAGCGCTAGCTTTGGTGTATTTGGTGCGCACTCAACCCACCCTCATAAGCTCCTACAGTAGTCAAAGGGCGAAGATTGACAAATGCTGGGGCCCGGTTGTGGTTAGAGTTCAAGAAGCACAACTTGTGCTTCTTGCTGGTCGACAGCTCCGCTTTTTTCAAGTCGTGCTACTATGATAGGAGCCAGAGCAATTCGAACAGGCTCCTCAAGGTTCCATCTTGAAATTACATGATCATGCATCCAAATCCTATTCCAATCGCTCAGGCGCCATATCAACGAAACTCTTACGATATGCCTTCTACAACCCTACACGGAACCCTTAACAGAATCCAACTCTAGCTACTGCTGTCTCCTTTTCTAAGTAACTGAAGGTTGCTTCCTGAAATTCTCGAAGAGCGCTCGGCTCCGGCTCTTGGCGCTGCTAAAAAAAGCTGTAGCCCTGACCCGAAACCCTAAGGAGTCTGTTTTCAGAGCTTTTGTTTTCGGGTTTGGGGTCTGGGGAAGAAGAGCCCTTTTCGGGTTTGGGGTTTGTTTTGGGCTCAGGGACTACATGTACAGCTTATGGGTTTTATAGCCGCTGGGGTTTTCTTCTTTCTTCGGTCGTGTGGGAATCCGTGCGGATGCTGCATAACAGCAACATGTTTAAACTAGACTGTAAGGTTTAGACCCAACAGGCCGACAACAAGACTGAGACACAACGCTCAAGGACCGCCAACTTGAACCAGAACCTTCAGTTCATCACTCTCTCAGTCTCCTTAGTGAGCTTTCGAAGGTGACCTAAAGGCCCTCCGCGGCCTCTGCACGGATGGCGCTCAAACCCCTACAACACCTGAGAAAGCACCAAAACCTGCTACAGCTCAAAAGATAGTGGCTCCTAAGCCCCGAACTTCCCCAAACCCATAAACGCACAAACCCTAAAACCATAAACCCATACAGGAGATTCCGAAAATAGGGACCCTACTATAGTAGCCAATAGTAGGATCCTTATCATAGGGACCCCAAAACAAGGTACCCCTAAGTTTTGGAAACTCCCATACAACCTAACCCCCCAGGCCCTACTGGGTCATGGGCCGAGGAGAAGTGCGCTTCGAAGACCGAGCCGCCAATCTCTAGGAAGGGGTTCACCTCGGCGGCGATTAGGGGCCTTAGGCATTCGAATAGGGTCTCTTTCAGGGTTCTTTTCTAGGGTTTTATGAGGGTTTGCACAAGGAGCTTCGAATAGGGTCTCTTTCAGGGTTCTTTTCCAGGGTTTTATGAGGATTAGTGCAAGGTGATCTCAGGGCGCTGTGATTAGGGCTGCCACCGTCCATGAGGGCCTTTCTGCAATCGCAAGCTCTGGTACAAAGCTACAAGTTTATGGTTGACATACTCTTTGGTTGGGAGCTCGTCGGAGTTGGCACGTTGACGATTTTGTATGTGTTTTTTCTCCCCTGGCCCTGCGCAGGATCCACCTAAACCCTAAACACCCTGGCCAGCGCTGTCGAATGGCCCTTTGCCTCCTGGCCTTGTTGGTTCATTTTTTTACAGGCTCTTTTCCGCGCAAAGGTTAGGCCACAAGGGCTCCGTTTGAGGGCGCTTGGGGTCCTGGTAGTTTTGCAGGGATTAGACGGATTAGACAGGAAGCCCAGAGTCGGCACATCCAAGGATTTAGAGTTTAGGGTTTGGGTTTTTTAGGGTGGTTTACGGTTGAGGGTGGGGTTTTTAGGGTTTGCATAATTCTGCCTGCCCGGTTGCCGGATAGTGAACCGCAACCTTGCACGGTGGAGGGATTGCTTGTAATCTAGTGGTTGCAGTAGCTAGTAATAGTATCCCTGTAAAGCACCCCCCCATAGTGTGGTACCACAATATCTTATTCTAGTGATTTAGAGCATTCAAGCCCCCGTGTTCTAGTGTATGAAGCTTGCCACTTAAGCTGCAACTCAGGATCACACGCGAACCGCAAAAACTAAGCCGTTACGGTTGGCCAAGTAATTAAGTTTCTAGGCGCTACCTCCGTGGATTGCTTGGTCTTATTTCCTAACATCTGCAGCCCCCAGGCAGTCAGAGCAAACATGGCAGTAGGAGTAGGCTACCTTGGAAACATCATGCCGTCAATGATGAAACATCGAAGCTGCAGACCTTTAAAACAGAGCGTTGAACCCAGAGTTGCTAACATGTACCAGCACGAAGAAACTCAAAGCACAGTCAAGGTCGCAATTAACATAAGATGCACAAGTCATGTACGACCTGGAAGTTGCGTATCCAATCTCTATGAAGACAAGAACCATCACAATGTTGCACTCATAGTAACGAGCCTGACTACGCGCAGCTTATCTAGAATGGCAGAAGCAGATGTTGCACTGCCAATATAGAAAGTAAGCATAAATCTCTCAATGCCTGCTAGTAACTTCGGTCATGATGATGACAATGATATTGGTAATGAGGTTGGTGAGGAACAACATGGCACAAACACAGCACAACTGAAAGCAGCAGGAAACCAATCAGAAGCCTGGGCTTGTAAATTCAATGGGACTTTCAATCAGCACACACTCTCCGACAAACCCTCTTGGGCATGCACAAAGAAAACATTAACTACCCTCAAAAGCTCGCCATCAGCACATGCCAGCTAACCCGCATGCCAGCAGCCAAAAGAGGTACATGAACACCATGGAAACACCAAGCTACTCGTCAAGGACCCTCCACGGGAACATTACTTCGGTATAGGGTTTAGGGTATGGGGCCTAGCGGCCTACCTATAGACAGCTTGAACCATCGCGAAATCCAACACAGAAGGACCCGACGATCTCACAGCCTGAAGTGCATGACAGCCCTACATCTCCAGCAGCGAACCAACCAGGCCGCGCGCATGAACCCACCAAACCCATGCGAAACCCTGTCCAACAGTTTTTCCAGATAAACATCCGACACACCCGAAAGCCCTCAACTCTACGTCGCAACGGTTGCATGGCCAGAGAATCATGGCTTCTGCAAATGCTGAGCATTTGGATAGGTTCCAAGCGGCAGACAAGAACCCTGAACAACGACAATGACCAGGCAAACCCCAAACTACCCATATGCACCCAATCTCATGAGCCTTATGATTCAAAGCCAAGCGACGACAGTATCTCCGGGTTCAGAGTGAAGGAATGCACCTGAAATTCCGTAGGCAAGGGTCTTGTGTTTGTGTTTGCATCTCCGGTGGATTGCGACTTTCTCTGATCGTCAGTATTGCCATTAATTAATATTGTTGCTGTTACCACCACCATCGCCACCACCGCGACGACGACTACCACTACCACAGAGGTTGTGAGTATGTTAGAAAAAATGAACAGCCACAATTTCTCGCTAAGAAGCGTTTAGATGCAATCGTACTCAGGAGTAGCTTAAATTTGGTAGTAACAAGCGTAATAGCAGTGCATTAAGCATTCGAAGATTGATAATTAGAAAACACGGCCCGCCCCCCCTAAACACTAAACCCCAAATCTTAAACCCCCAAACCCTAAACCATAAAGGCCAAGCAACGCTGCAGTGCTCTCGCAGATGCTTGCCTTGTGTTAGCGTGGGGATTGCTCCGACAGCTTTCAGGTTTGTTGGCATCTAGGGCTTCAGGGTTTCAGGGTTATCGGGTTAGTTCCACTGTTGCACCTCCACTACGATGAGTTCCTTGCTGTTGAGGGTGCCGAAACAGGCCCACGATCTATAGCAACTGGCTGCAAACGGCTTGGGATGCTTCTTTGCGTGTTTTAGGGGCTGCACTTTCGGAAGCCCATTAAGAGCATGAAGGGTATAGTTTCTAGAATCTATAGAACCTGTAACCGCCACAAAGTCTGGGCAGCTGGCTCAAACTATGCAACAACCCAAAAACGAAAATTCTATTCCCATGAAACTGATTCTGAAGCCGGAAACCAACTCCTAAACCCCAAACCCGAAGCCCTACAGCAGAAGCAGAACACTTGGAAATCCAATAGCCCCAATCCTTAACAGTAATGTATAATCCCAGCACTAATTGGCCTTAATCCGGTCTCCAACTTTATGGGGTTTTCTAGGAATCCTGATCCTGAACCCCGGGACTGACTGATGAAGCTCTGGGGTATATATTCTGCTACAATTATGATAAAGAAAGCCCAAAATAGTATTGGTCGTTATTCAGGCCCCTATACTATATCCTAGTGAAGAACCCTGAAATTATTTAGGCCCCTATACTATATCCTTATACTAGCCCTTGTAGTAAAAGAACCCCAAAAATATTTAGGCCCCTTTATGACCCGCAAGACGCAAGAAGAGCGATTCGAGGCCCAGGGACAAGTTCCTGCTGGAGATCCCCACCCACCTGTGCAAGGAGGGTCCTTCGGGGCCTCGTGTTCAGGCTATCGCTTCAGGGTTTAGCGTTCAGGGTGTATGGTTTAGGTTTAAAGGGGTTTAGGGTTTATGGGTCAGGGTTTAGCGCTTAGGGTGTATGGTTTAGGTTTGACAGTGACAGGGTTTAGGGCTTAGGGTTTGGAGAAAGCGATGTTGGGGTGTACGTCACGATTGATGGTTTAGAGTGGGAGCGGGGGTCGTATTCCATCAGAGGCATCGATGGCCCGAATGAACAAACGGAAGCGGGCTCGTCGAAGCCCAGCACCTCTTTCTGCGATCAAAGGCGAGAGACCCCCCAAACCCTAAACCCTAAACCCCAAACCCTAAACTAAACCCTAAACCCTAAACCAAAAACCCTAAGCATCAAAACCCGAAGCCACTAAACCCCTAAGCACCCCAACCCTACGGCCTGAACCCTAAAACGCTGTTGCTGAAGGGCCCGGACGAACATGCATAAACTACAGCATATTATCGCATATTATGGAATATTATAGTGGGTATCTTATTGGAGAAGCAGATTGTAGCCACTTCCATGAGAAGGAAAAGCTCCTCCGTGAAGAAGAACCACTGCAGAACCCCTGACAGGAAATCCCCAACCAGGAGTTCAACAGCCTCCACTGTAGCCCCCCTTTCTTGGGCTACCTTTGAGGATTCTAACAAAAAACTGGTAAACAACAAGGAGCTACAATGGAGACTATAGGTATTTCCTGGAATCCATGTTGCGCCTGTTCCGAGGTGCCTTTTGGAACCTCAGAGGCAGGAGAGGCCCGAAAAGCATAAAGCTCACGAACACACATACTCACTGATAACACTTGTACATGCATACACACACATGTATGTACATATATATATATATATATATACATAGATATGTGTATATATATATATATATATATATATTCTATGCACATCTACAAATTGCTCAAATGACTATATGTCATTAGCTTTTTCTTGTTTTGAGGGAAATTCTGTTCTCGCAGATCAGATGCCGGTCGGGGTTGCAGGACTTAGAGGTCTCATAGCACATCGCGAAGGCATCGGGGCCTTGAAGTGGATCTAAGGGCTCCTTTCGGGGTTTCTTTAGGGGCGACTTCTCGGGGTTCCTTAAAGGGCTCAACTCAGGGTTTCTTTCAAGGCTCCTTCAGTGTGCCTTGAAGAATTTCTTAAGGACTTTATAAGGCTTTGCGAGGACATGAGAAACACTGAAGGCTCGCAAGACAGATTACGACTACCGGATGAAGGCTAGTTGTAGCTTTATCTGAGCTGGGGAATACGAATCATACTTCCGGCATTTTTTTGGGGTTTAGGGAGCTGAATGTTAGTCCCCTTTACCCTCTACCCTGCTTAAGCGCGTATATAACCCAAACTCTCTGGCGATGAAAGGGGACGTCGTGCACTAGCTGACCAGCTCGCATGTGCAGCAAAGAGACTCTTTGATGATGGCCACGTCGCAGGGCGCGTGTTGCACGATGTAATCCTGAGCTTTCCTTTCTTGGGCTTGGTATCGGGCCTTTACAAATTCGGGCGTGGCTCTTGGGTGCAATGCACCTCGAAAATATTGAGTCGGGAACCCGGAGGAACAATACTGGTACTTCTATGATTCAACCCGCTTTTGCAGCCTTCACGTGATTTAAGGCCCGGTTTCAGAAGTGTCCAAAGCCCAGGATCCATAAACGTTAAAGCATCAGCTCTTAACACGAGATCATCATCAAAGATATCGAGCCGAGTCTCCATCAAAAAAGCTCCAGGTTCAAGACTATTCAAGCCGGCTCCAACAGTATCCAAGAAGATACGTCTTACTTCTCCTACGCCCATTTTGGCTTTTGGACTGTAGGACTTGCAAACTCTCTTGAGCAAGCTGCCGTGAACTTGTGGTAGTGCTGCGCACGGTCATAGCCAACATAGATCCTAAGCACATGTATCGCAGCATTCCCTTGTCGTTTCAGAAGTCGATCACTCTCGTGGTTGATTCGGGCACCGATTGACGGTCCTACCCGGGCCGCCTTGCCATGCACGCCACACCCTTGTGTTATCAAGGATTTGCTCACTAGGACACCAGGCTGGCAGCACACACCGTGGCAATCAATCGCGGCCCGGAATGCGGCACCTTCATCCGCAGTACCCGCCATCGCAAGCTTTCACTCCCCTGAGACATGTATCTCGCACCTGCTAGTTTTCAAGCCATGTGTACAGCCTTGCCCTGTGAATTGTTTGCTTCCATCGTGGGCACTCACTACAGCCCTACTGGCCCATGGGATGTGACCAAAAGCACAGACTGGAACATGGAGGATTTCAATCGCTTAGCATCTCCTTTCCCGCGATTCAGGGATGTTCAAGGCATTTGCTGTGCCTGGACTGTATGCAGCCTCTTAGCAACCGCTATCTCCCGGCCTAATGTCAAGCTCCCAGAGCTCACGTCTTAACTTCCTCTGAAAACTTCGCAAGTGAGCAAACAGTTTCGCTACACATCGCTTTGCCCTCGGCGTTCTCACATTATTAAACCGTTATAAATCTTTAAGAAGAACATCATGCGGATCCCTGGAAGGGAACCCTTCAAGCAACTCTTTGGATCCTCGCTCTTTCTCTCTCCCTCTTTCCCTCCCTCCCTCCCTCCCTCCCTCCCCACGCAAGCGCACCTCAACATGTGACTGCATGCCATCACTCCATCCCACGACTGCGAGCTCTACTAATACTAGACCTTGACTTTCTTGGTTT